CGGGAGAGAATCAAACCCTTACGGATAGCTTCCTTTAACCCAGCTACGAAGGCAGCAGACAACATCTGGGTATGAGCTTTATTGTAAGTACTAAACCCTAGATCAGGGAAAGTTTGAGTTAGACGTGAATGATACTTTTCAACAGATTCAAGTTTGTCCTGAACAATGTCATTAATACAGGTAGCCTGGTCTGCCAGTTTATCTTGTGCCCAAGCACGGAGTTGTTCACAGAATGTGATGCCAGATTGGAAGTCTGTGTCAGTGGTGAGTGGAGCATCTGTAAAGCTCCGTGCCATAATAGGCCAGTAGGCATCACCTGCTTTGATTTCACATAAACTATAGAGATCCCGCCAGGCAGCGGAGTAGGTTTTACGGATCTGAGCCATCCTACGGTAAAAGGGCATGGGTTGTTTCTCAGGATCGGGGAGAGAGGTGACAAGAGTGGCAGCCTGTGAAGGGTTGAACGTAACATACATGGGAGCTCCTGCAGCAGCTGGGGGTACATGTAGATGCACTCGTGTTGCAGGCGGTCTCGATAAGGGTCTATTACCCTGGTGGAGAGGCGGGCCACGTTCATCAATGTCATCATCCCCTTGAGCGACATGATCGTCCTGGTAGGAGGCAGCACCCAGGGATGCCGGGCCTGGGACGGCCGGGGTGATGGGAGTCTGGGGAGCGAGAGCCGCGTTATGTGGACTGCCCAATTGTGACGTTGTGGGGTGGTAACCTGATGCTGCGGGGGATACACCTACAGCGTAGGGCTGGGCTGACGTAGCTGGTTCTTCAGCGCCAACCACCATGAGGGGGAAACTGGGACTTGGGTCAGAGGCACATGGGACAGGGGCAGGGCCGGACGGGGTGACACGGGATTGGGCGGGAGGCTGGGCCAGGGCGGAGAGGGCTGAGGTGAGGATAAATAGCTCAATAGGGAGTGTAGGAGGGGGAGGGTCTATGGGTGAGGTAGGAGGGGCTGGGCGGGTCAGAGCCAAGAGGGCGGAGAGGAGGGAGGACAGCTCAGCAGGAAGAGATGGGAGAAGAGGGGAAGGGTCTACGATGGGAGGGGCTTCGGGGAGCAAGGGAGGAGGAGCAAGATGACGGGAAGGCTCAAGAGCGGCAGAGAGGGCTGTAAGAAGGGAGGACACCAGACTAGTAGAGGAATCGGAAGTATTAGTGGTGGGAGAGGAACTGGAAGTATTAGTGGTGGGATTAGTAGGGGGAGTGGGAGACACAGTAGTAGTAGCGGGGTTGAGGAGTGTGGCGGACGTGACGGAGGTTGGGGTCAACGGGGCAGGATCAGGATCGGGGGTAGGAAGGGCTGATGGTGAGACAATGGGAACAGGCGGGGACTTCGATCGCGGTGGTGGACAGGGAGGTGGCGAAGGAGGGACCGGGGGCTGGGAGGGGACTGGGAGGACGGGCTGGGACGGGACTAGGTCGGGGGAGGGGAATGGCTGGGGCATGGGGACAAGGGGAAAAGAATGCAATGGTACTGGATAGTAATAGGCTCCGTCAGCTCCAAGCACGGGACATAAGGGGGTGGATCCATGTACTACGCCACTGGGAGGTAGCGTCTGGGTGTTAACCGGATAAGCTGGGCGGGAGCTGTTCAACACGGTCTGGCCGCCATCATAGGGCGGAGGCCGGGGATTTTCAGGGGAAACATCAGTATTACAATCATTTCGATGGTACACATAAATCGTTTGTCCCTCAAAATCTAGTTCTTCCTCCGTCCAACCCTCCCGCTTAAGTCCTCTAGCAACCCGATACCAAGCCTCTACAGCTTTGGTTAGCCCATTATCTGACAATAACCCTTCTTTGTCCACAAGCAACTTCCTCCAAAACTCAGGCTGTAACCTACCACTAGGTGACATTTGAAAACCACAGATCTTCAATTTTCTTGATCTTTAACATTGTCTCCTCCCCCGCCCTTTCCTTCACAAAATCGCAAGCCAAAAACCCTTTAGCTGGTCTAGCATGTTCTTGCCCCATCTTGACCAAACGAGGTTTGCCACGTAAAGGAGACAGGGTGAGCAGGAAGAAAAAGTAGGAAAGTCTACAGTGCTCGACTGCCACGGGGGACCCGTGCGCCTTCCCAAAACGTAGACTAGTCACAATGGTCCGTGCACCCGAGATGGTGACCACGGATCGGAGCGGGATAGCGTGGGTGACTAACACAGCTCTGGGCAACAGACACAAGACAGATACAGAACAAAGGAAAAGATAAATGTGGCAACACTAAGCAGTAGACATTTACAGAAATCACATGCTGTAACAACAATTGAACAAAATCCACAAAATGACAGAGAGCAATATGGCATGTACATAATAAAACAGACAATGGAAATCAAAGATCAATAACCCCAGCATCTCTCTCCAGGCTGCAACCCTGTACTGTAAAATCCCACCTTCTAACAGGCGATCCATAATCTTTCACCGGCCGTCTATTATATCCCAACCCAGCTACCTGGGTTTGTGCCAATTATCCTTTTTTTATATATACACTTTTTTTTTTACTTTATCCTGGCCTTTTATTATTCTGCTTTTTATCTCAATTTAAAATTTTTACTATTCTGGTTTTACAACCCTTGGAAGTCTCCTGTACCCCAAGAAATCCTAGGTGGGGATTAAATCACCAATGCTGATACCAAAGAGCAGTGCTCTCCACTTGTAAGTACGATTTTAATTAATTTCCATTGAGACCGTTAAACAGAGAGCACTATTGGCTGTCTCTTTTATCTTCTCTTTTCTGAGTATTGGACACCAGTGATGGAGAGGTACTCACTACATATCCCATATGCGGGGATTATACTGCTGTACGCGCTTTACCCTAGAGCTGGATATAAGCTCTTATAAATTGGAACCATAACAACATCTGAAGACCTTGCCCCTGTACTCAACACTTTAAGACGAACCGTACTCTTAGGTTGGACTTTCTTTTATATTTGCTTCCATTATTGGAATTGGACATTGCTTATTTATTCACTATTTATTGTGGCGCAGCCCTTTTTTATCTTTGTTTTTATTTGTCTTGTTTTAAAGGGTTTGGAGGGATTCCTTTTTAAGGGTTGCTGCCTGTTGGTTAACCAGCGCTGTCTCTTCTTCTTATTTATTGTACCATGCCTTCCAATACATATATATATATCTTATATATATAAAACTTCATTCTAAGTGTAATAGTTTAATACTAATATATGTAATTATATTAACATTAAAATACACTACGTATCATGATATATATATATATATATATATATAAGATGTATTCTCTGAAAAGGCAGTGTTTGCATGAAAATGCCTGAAGGGATCTATTATACTCACCAGAACAACTACATTAAGCTGTAGTTGTTCTGGTGACTATAGTGTCCCTTTAACTAAGGTTATTGTACTGTAAGTATTACATACTCTGTGTTTTATAATATTAGAAACATAGAATGTGACAGCAAATAAGAACCATTTGGCCCATATAGTCTGCCCAATTTTCTAAATACTTTCATTAGTCCCTGCCCTTATCTTTATATCTAGGATAGCCTTATGCCTATCCCACGCATGCTTAAACTCCTTTACTGTGTTAACCTCTACCACTTCAGCTGGAAGGCTATGCCATGCATCCACTACCCTCTCAGTAAAGTAATACTTCCTGATATTATTTTGAAACCTTTGTCCCTCTAATTTAAAATTTTAAATATTGTTATATGTGCAGGTTAGTTACATATTATACTGACAAGTCACCCCTGAAGTTTTCACATACTATATATTATATCTTTTAATTCTTCAAAAACCATCTAAATAATACATTAAAATTAGTCAGTTAATGCCTGTTGTCTCTCTTTAATACCCCTGCCTTTTTACACCTGAGAATCCCTCTATAAAGTCAAGCACATGCAGGCAAAACGTTAATGCACAAATAATAACTACATTGTAATGTCCCTGTACGTGAAATTATTGTGGCTCGGATCTATCACCATGACAACTTCAATGCCTTTTAATATTCTTCTAATAAATAATCTACTGTTCACACCAATCATTTTTATTTATAAAGCAAGAACATATTCCTCATCATTATACATTTGGTAGACATGAAATGCAAATAAGTAATGACGCAATTCTACGAACAGGGGTGATTTGGGCTCAAATGATCTCACAGTCTATAGAACGTAGTATAGTATAGTTATATAAAAGATAGAAGGTCAATGTATCCAGGGTGAACAATATATAACCAGGTGCATGAACAATAGCAGAAAAGTGCATGTAACAGATCAAGGATTCTCTAACCGCAATGCTGTCATCAAATTTTAAATATTTGTCTTTGATGGAATTCATAATAACAGTGTGTTACAGCCTGTTAGTTTATATTACAAACATAACTGCCACTGAAGTATCTGGGAAAGCTATGCTGCTCTCTCACAAAACAGCACTATCCTCGGACTAAGTGATTTCCTCCTAGCACACACAGAACCTCATAGGAGAGAAGGTGTGACAGACCGCTTGGCACCCTGACTGGGTGCCTCCACCAATCGCTGCTTCCTAGTAATCCTTGAGTACCATAAGCAGTGCACCGGACACCATATCCACCGTATACCCCACAGCCAGCCTTACAGCTTGGTTGGGGTCTCAAGACCATGTTCCATCTTCCAGTGGGTAGACCTCTCCTAGCCCAGAGAGTTGTAACCCAACTGTTTAATTTCTAATAGTTTTTTGATTTTATTCATAATAAATTATGTTTCATATATGAATAGTTCCTGTGAAATTAAAGCCCTGTTTCTCCTGAACAAAATTATATATAATAAGTGTAGGTGCACTTAATATGAAAGAGGTGAATTACGGTTGAACAGACATATAGTGCAAATTCCAGTTTTTGTTTACATTTTGTTTTGATCAGAACATGTACTATTGACTCTGTCCTGAAGGGGTTAAAGGACCACTATAGTGTCAGGAAAACAAAGTCGTTCTAACCGTGACATCCAGGCAGCCCTGGTCACCTTGGTCTGTGTTTATTTGCAAGGGTGAGCATATATCTCCACATACCGGTCTCCACATCAGGTAAGATCCCTGACACTGTCTTTGCAAACCCTCCCCTTCTAACACCCCTGGCAGTTGTTATGGGCAATTGGTGCCTCTTAAGTTTACCAAGATGTAACAGGACTTATCTGTTTGACTGAAAGCCAGGGGTGTGTAACAAGATTAATTTATAAAATTGCCAATTTCTATTAAAACTAAAGTACTTTAGGTGTCTGGATCATCCCTTTAGATCACTTTTGTTTCTGTTTATGCATTCTGCATGAAAAAAAGATTGTTTCATTTTCAATCAGATGTTAACTTTCTTTAGAGGTTTTTTTATCTCATTGTCTTTAAACTGAACTTTAATAGCACACGGGAGTCTCCTGCAGGGTTTTGAGGCTATTGAAAGAGCAGGAGGTAGGAAATTCTAAATTACAACATGTGCAATCAAGGAAGTTTAAACATTATATCTCTCCTTACAGGAAGTGTTTGGGAAGGCTGTGCAAGTCACTTACAGGGAGGTGTGGCTAGGGTTATATAAACAAGGTGATTTAACTCCGAAATGGCAGATAATTGAGTGGTGAGACAGCAGAGGCATGGTCTTTACACAAAACTGCTTTGGTATGCTAAAGTTGTATGTTGACTATAGTCCCTTTAAGGAACCCAACCTCCAAAAGTATAGAAACATAAAGAGTAGCTAATGTAGCTAATCTTTTGTTAATTTATTCCTGCGTATGGTAATGTGTATTTGTGTGGGGCAGTGTTTGTTTGGGTATCTATATCTAGCAGTGTATATACCTGTGTGTAAATCTTTGTGTGTATCTGTGAATGCATGCCAATGTTTATTTGGGGAATGCAGATGTGTGAGTGTGTGTATTTAGGAGCATGTCCAAATGTGTGTATGTCTGAAAACGTGTGTGCATCTGTATTTATGTCTCGGAATGTGTGCCAGTGGGGCCTGCAAAATGGTTTTGATATTGTCCCTGCACATTCTGGTGGCAGCCCTGCTTATGAGCTTTACGGTTCTACTAGTTCCACAGTTTGGGCATATTTTTTTTCCATAGAAAAATTCTGTTTGTTTTTAGGCACAGTTACAGCAAGAAATTATATAATGTCTTTGAGGTATTACAACACAACATCATTAAGGAACATGTATTACATTTTGGAAAATTAGGTAAGTACATACCCATTTCAGCACCAGGCTAATTCTGACTGAAACTAAAATCATTTGTATCTAAGCAAAGGCTGACTGAATATTTGTTGTGCATGGCAATACTTGCTATTACACTAGTTGAAAGTGCTGACTTTATGGTGGCAGCTTCTGCCCAGAAGTCTTATATCCATTAAACTTGGCAGGTTGTATGCCCAGTGCTGTCCTGAGATTAACACTTAGACTAAAATAAATTATAAAGGGGCATGGCCAAGCCGCCGACTGTGATGACCGCGTGAACCTGAGCTCCACCAAGCCCTAGGCTGCTAATCGTTGAAAAGCTGCCACAGACCCCACGATGGGGAAAAATAACAAAGCTGCAGGTAACCTCAAACATCTGGGGACCTGCCAAGCCTTGATGTCCACCTCGATGAGACAGTACCTGACCACTCCAACCGACCTTGCCTCCCAAGAGGCATCTGATGCCTACACACTCTCTGGGCCCTCTATGCCTCACTCCTCTTTGCCGGGCCGTGAGGAACCCCCTCACTTACCACTGCCAGACTGGCTGAGCCTCCTAATTGCACTCCCCACCTGAGAGGATCTGAGGAAGATGACTGTCTCACTTCGCCCTTAAAGCATTTTGAGAATATATTGCAAGCGGCCCGGAACTCACAAGGTGATCCACATGAAGGCATGAAGGCCACCGCCTGCAGCTTTCCCCTGATCTGTGCCCCGCAAAGCTGGGATTCAGATGGGCCACCAAGCCCCTAACCCGCATATTAGTATCACAAAAAATTCAGTACCGCTGGATTTTCCCAACGGGTCTAGCAATTTCTACTCTAGAAGCCAGTACGCCACCAGCGGGACCTAATAACTATCTCAGACCTCCTCCAGCTGCCACCTATCAACAAGCGCTGGCCTGACCCACTGGACTGTTACAGCCCAGCAACCGAGACCACAGAGCAGCCGCTACAACAACAGTGGAATAGGTCCAGGATGGAATGCACACGGCCCTCAGGGGCTCAACACTAGCCTACACGTGCCACCCAAAGAACCAGAGACACTCTGATACCGGTTCCAGCCAACCTGCCTGCCACAGACAATACCCTGCTACATGACTATCACCCGGAAGTGCTACAGAGCACAGCAGACTTTGCCATTGCACCCGTGAGCCTTCTTGATGAACAGAGCTCGCAAACTGACAGAACACAGGGACCCCGCACAGCACCATGAGACTATGAACGCATATTGTGGTACCACACCTAAATGCTACAGAGGGGTTTATTATTATTGTTTATACCTTAGACACCATCACCTTCATATGATGCTATAAGGGGAGAAAGGGTGGGGGGGAATACTATAGACGGGGGGACAGTGGGTGTAACCATCCCCACTGCCTCCCTGCGATGGGGGCCCCGACCGTCTCTGCCGACAATCTCTGCCTGGTCACTGGCAGGGGGGCCTGGGTCCCACCTCGCGGAGGCGGCATCTGTGGGCGCCATAGAGGAAGAGCGGGTATTCCAGACCCCATGAGGATGTTAGCTGCGAGAGGCCGGATGGGGGGGATGGCGAATAAAGGACGCACAGGCTGCTGGTAAAAGACGGCCAGAGCGGGAGGGAAGCATGAGGGCGGGAGAGGCCCTCCCAGTACTTGGGGTCAGAGACACCTAAACACTTAGACACCAAACTCAACAGGGATCAGGGAAGGTATTCTAGTTCGGTCCTCCCCAGTCTAACTAATGAGGAATCAACACTGTTACAATGCAATGTGTACAATAGGCTTCTGCGGCTCAAGGCTTTTGGGGCAGCCAGGGCCGGTGGGTTCTGTGGAGTCCCCTTGTGCCATTGTGCAAAAGTGAATGCCAACACGGGAGGGCTCTGCGACTCAGCGACTGGCCCGCTCTAAGGACGTTGAACCCTGTGTACGGGGATCACTGTAATTTTTATATAGTTTGGATATTGTTATTGTTGAAAGCACTCGGCCGGGCTCCCCACTTGGTAGAGGCACCACCCCGAAGGAGGGAGACCCAGATGGTTGACTGGTTTGGTTCCTGGGCCCCACCCTCCTGACGCCTTTGCCCTAGTTTCGAGGAGGTAACTTTTGTGCTTAATTTACTGAAGCGGGACACCCTGCTTCCTGGGCACGGAAGGGGGGGGAGTTACATAACCGACCCCAAACTCGGTGAACCACTCGGTGAACCACACAGTCCCCCACCCTTGAACCCCCTCTTTCTCTTTTCTCTCTCCTCCATTTCCACTCCCACACAATGGCAAGGGCTTACAGACAAGCCGAGATCAATTTAATGTCCATAAACGCAAAAGGCATGAATAAACTACAGAAACGATCACACGCCCTACGGCAATTTCACAGCCAGCGGGCACATGTAGTTTTTATACAAGAGACGCACTTCAGAGCAGACCAGGTTCCTAGATTGACAGACCACCACTTCACACAATGCTTCCTTAGCAACAACCCGTAAGGGAAATCGAAGGAGGTAGCCATTCTGATACATAGGTCCCTATAGTTTGAACCCGTCGATATTCTCAGGGATGACATAGAAAGATACATATGCGTGAAAGGTAGAATAGGAGACGAATCTGATGAATCTCTACATGCCGAACAGGAACCAAAGTCGGTTCCTGAAATCAGCCATGAAGACCATCGGGGGCTTTGCCAAAGGCTGTCTTATCTTGGGTGGCGACCTGAATGTTGCGATCAACCCCTCCCTAGACACCTCATCACGCGCATTCCTTGACACCACACCATGTCCTTAACTCAATTAACACTTGCCTGAAGGAACACCGACTGGTAGATTGCTGAAGAGCCTAATACCTAGACAACCGAAATTACACATTTTTCTCAATACCCAATCAGACATACTCCAGACTTGACTCCTTTTTCCTACTCACTACTTTCTCACTGACCTGAGGAAAATTCGCATTGGGACGGCAACTTGGTCGGACCACGCCCCACTACTAATGACACATTCCGCCCCCTCCACAGACCAACCTGTGGACAGTGGCGTCTCAATGAGTCCTTCTTGTTGGACCCATTGGTGACAAAAAACTTCCACCAACACCTCTCCCACTACTTTCAGGAAAATGAGACTGGACCAAACTGACGTCCATGAGACGGGCGCTATCTACCCTCTTAAATGCCTACTATCAGAGGAAATACCTCCAAACTAAGACATACTTTCACACCAACGCAAATTAATGTGGAGCATTATTGGCCCGCATGATTACCAAATGGAGGGCGATCACATATATCGTCAAGATAAGGTGTTTCACAAACGCACCCTACTTCAAGATTGTACATGACGTAGTTGTGGTGGTGAAAGGGTTAAAGTTCACTATTTGTCTGCACTAGACCGGAAATAATGATAAAATCCCACTTAACACCACCCACACTTAAGCATAATAATATAAATATTACTATCTTAATGCTGCCACCACCAAGTCAATTTATAAATGGTCCCCCAGGTAAATCAATAATAAAAACCCACCAAATACAACTTAGCACAATATTTAAGGAATTACAAAAATACTAATTAGTCTCTTCAGTTAACCTGATTCTTTACCAGACAAAGGCAGAACTTAATAAAGGAATATTTATTTGAAGCAAAAAATAGTCACAGTGCATCCAAAAATATAGATGACAATCAAAATTATTTACACCAACAAAGGATAAAAACAAAAGAGATGAAATAACAAGTCCTAATTACTTACTCAAGTTGTCAAAGTAACACTTCTGCCCCAGGGGGTCTCTGGTAAGAAAGATGGTGACCCACTTAGAATTAGATTCTGGCCCCTCAAGCAAGTACAATGCACCCTTCAGTATCAATAGAGAAATACCCTGTGGATTACCACGCCTGACCCAGAGGTGGAGTTTAGGTGTATCTATAGAGACACCAAGTGACCACCCCCTTGTGTCCAGACCTACATCAATCCAAATGGAAACTCTTATGTACCTGCCACAGAAATAATAATTGCATCTACAAATTAGTTATTATTTTCCCATTCCATAGATATGTCACACTTCTTACTTGTGACCCAATATAGCAGACATCAAAATCCCTTCCACTATGGGTAAGTTGTGCCAGTCATGGTAGGGCTTGTTTAGAAGATGGCGCTTGTCACATTCTAAATATAACAAAACTGAGGCTTAATTATTATTCTGTGAGTAAATATTAATGTTTTTCTTCTTTTGGATATGATACTGCAACATAGCTAATGGCCATTAACATATCAAATGACCCCCTATCTAAGAGGGAACCTAGACATATGGCACATTAGAGAGTTAGTTTATATGTAAACCAGACTTCCAAGCCACTTATGTGTGACTTCTCAAACCTTACAGAGTTTTTGTTTAATCAAAGGGCCAATGCATATGGTAAACTATCTGCTTCCTTTCACATTCCTATGCAATTCACACTACCCCTTCTGTCATCTGATATTTACCAAGTGGTCAATCATATATGCACTACACAAATTACATTAATATTCTATTGTGCAACAATGAATTATGCACCCTTGGCGTGACAAGGCGGGCAGACAACAGGCTGACATACCTACCACCCGATATAGCTAAGACACTGCGATCCTACTACACACAGGTATACTCTCTCCCAAACCAACAACCAGCACAGTAGCCCGCAAGACACTAGGGAGGCAACCCAGGAGCTCAAAGAGCCCCTCAGTCTACAGGAATTAGCGTGGGCCCTTAAAACAACGAAACTAGGCAAGAGCCCAGGCCCAGACGGGCTCCCCACATGCTACTACAACAATTTGTGCAAACCTACTCTTTCCCTGGCTCCTCAAAGCCTATAATTACATTAGGGATAGCCATGGGATACCCACAGAAGCACTAGCCGCCAATATAACACTGATCCCTAAAGAGGGCAGGGACACTGAGCAGTGTGCAAACTACAGGTCCATATCCCTACTGAATTGTGATCTCAAATTGTTTACCAAATCTTGTCCACATGCCTACAATGGTTCCTCCCTGACTTGGTCCACCAGTACCAGGCGGGGTTTGTTCCTAAACAAGAGGCACTGGATAACATGATCTGAGTGATGTCCTTAATCCATTATGCGCATCAGAGGGCTCTCCACTGACGCGGAGAAGGCTTTCGACAGAGTAAACTGAGATTACCTGTTCACGGTCCTGGGATTACCTGTTCAAGGGACCGTTCATGCAAGGCTGGTTAAAGGCCTTATACACGACCCCCATAGCCCAGATCTGTTGAATGGGGCATTCACAGAACCTTGAGCCTTTCATAATAATTTTCTTTCCTGCATTCTTTGAAATAATCAGATTTTCATCCAAATAACACTGATTAAACATATTTTTTAATAAATACATACACATCCAGCAATGATTGCTTGTTGGAAAATGTATGCAAACCTTAAGACAAATGAGTACAATCAGAAATTTTAAGTAACTACTGGTCAGTCTAGCAAACAGGAACAAAGTATTTTGGCCTGTTCATCTTTACAAATTCATTTTACAGTGTTGACACTGTGTATTGCCAAAATGATGTAGCCATTATTAAACATTTATTTGTTCCTTAAGTTTAATAGTCTAGTCCAGGGGTTGGCAAACTTCAGCATGCCAAACATTGTGGACTTCATATCTTCTGATGCTTTGCCAGAATTATAGCTCTAAGTGCATTAGGGGAGATGAAGTTCACAACATGTGGAGTGCCAAAGGTTGTCTACCTTTGGTCTAGTTCCTCAAATGAAAATGCAATTTCTTTCCAGCTCTAGGCAGTCTTAGTTAGACAGCCAGTCCTACACTTATGAGATGATCCTGATGGATGAACTCTTTTCAGTCAAGAATCTGTTCTGTCCAAACATGTAGATTTTGAATTATTGAAAGTCTTTATATGAACATGCCTCTGTCTAATTGACAGCCTGCAGAGGCATTCTGACTGGCAAATGTAAACAGTGCTCACATTTGCCCAACTTGAGGGAAATGGGTCTTTGCGCCAGTACCATTATATTTAGATTTAATATGTTTTCGGTACCCTTCTACAACAGCCTTTATTATTGTGCTGAATTGATTCCATTTAGAAAGGTGTGTTATTAGGAAACCTGTTGGGTGATTGGACCTCCAATCATGCCAAATGTGTGGTTGATATTGGGACTTCTGAATTCTTCTTGATAGATTAGTTTTATATGGATCTCACTTTGTGCATACTTAAACTGACTAAACATTTTTTTTACAAAATTCTATCTGTTATGCGTCTATCAACCTGTCTTTCTATTTGTCTGTCTGGCTGTCCATCCATCTCTCTGTCTTGGATTTCTTTCTCCTACAACAAAGGTGCAATTTCAAAAAGCAATAAATACAAAACTGCAATTATGCCCCCCAAAAATAATAACAAAGCAGTCACTGGAGAAGAACCCCTACAAATCCAGCAATACTGAAGGAGTCAATTGCCATTTCAGCCACTGGGGTCCTAGTTTACACAGTTTCTAAACTTGCCACCAATCTGAAGTCAACCCTGCTTACTACAGGGTGCTAGTACCCAATAAATCTACCCCCTGAGCCTACTAGGACACCCATTTCACATACACTAAAGTGATTAAATAACAGAACACTTTAAATTCACCCACTTTGCCCTCTAAGCTGTATGCTTAAATTATTTATACATTCTATAAGCGGACTTTAACTTCAGCAAATATTTTTCCCAAATTATATAACAAACAGCCCTTTACAAAGGCCATTTATAACAAAATCCTTAAATCACCTTTAACTATATTGGAAACCAATTTCCCTGTAAAACACCAACTGTCTGTCTGATGCACTAGAATTATTTGGCACCTGTTCAACTGACTGATGTCCTCTTTCTGTTTAAAGTCACGTAATCATATATAAACAAAGGTGATCTCTAACATACACACTGACAACTTTTTTTTTTTTACATTTGTCCAAAGTGTTTAAACGCTAAGGGGTATTGGACACAAGGAAGTAAATTTTTACCCCAAGTAATCCTATAGCCCTAAATACTTATGAAAAACTTTGTCCAATTCACACACTATAGTAAAGTTGAATATATAACATCTAATTTACTAGTTCCAAAGACGTAGCTCAAGAAAACGAGAAAAAGTAATGTCCATATCTTTATAGTCTTATCTTATTCAATTTGGTAATGCTTGCCACAAAAATAAACAATATAAGAGAGTGCAAAAGAACAAATAAAAAGAAAATTCTTATATTCAATAATATAAGATTAATAATATAATATGCAATAATATAAGATGACTATATAGAAAGCTGCTAGATACAAAAAAAAACATTCCAAGTTTCAAATATAAAACACAGTATTAGCGCTTAGCAGATATTCCCTTGTATAACAGAATGGGGAAAAACAAGAAAATAAGTCCAAAAAATTAGAGTGGCAAAGTGCATATAGTATTAAAAAAGGATATTCCCGAATAATGGGGAATACAGTAGTAGCTGTACAGTGTTCTGTATACTTTGCGATTGAAATGAATCATATCCCGGTGTGACAATGTATCCACCTTAAATTAAAAAGAACACAAATATAGTGGAACACTGTAAATGTTTTATTATCCCCTGAAAAACCCATTGTGGAACTCTTACAATATTAAATAGTGGAACTTATCTCTAAGAACCACAATAAAGCATTGCTGCAGAAACAGTGCTCAAGTCTGAGGAAGTTACCACTCCGTCGGTGAGATACTGCAAGCCGGTAATATGCACCTGAGCCGGTGCAGACCTCTATCACCCGGAAAGATGCCGACCGTGAGTACTGGTCCACATGCTTTCAGTTTAGAACTGCCGCCAATCTCAGTCTACAGGTCTCACCTGTTAGACTGGGCTTTCTCAAGACTTCTCAATGTCACAAAATGGTTGATTTAACAAATAACTCGCAAGAGATGTAGCAAGAAATATTTAAAATGTAAATTACATGAACAGAGATCAACTAAGATCAGGTTGGCATAGCTTAGAGTTCTAATGCCTATCACAATTGCCTTTTGAACTGTAACTTCTCTAGGTTTTCTCATCTTGGTAAACAGTATTGCAAAATCTATAAAGATTGAATAAAGACATGGAGGTAAATAAAATGCACTTATCTTTGCTGCATTGTCACTTTGTTTGAATTTGCCTCCACATGATGCCTTGGGGCATGTTTATGGGCACCTGGGCATCTACTCAGAAATGCCAAGTTCAGCCATACTTGCAAGCAGTGCCACATACACATAACCCAGTGTTTTCATATCAACAAACATTGTCGTCTTTTTTTCTGTTAATAAGGATTATAATTTGTGAATTTAATATTCATATTTTAACTGTTAAACAATAAATCCATTAATCTGTGCATATTAGACTCAGTCGCTAATTGTTTTTATGACTTACTAATCTCTGTGGTGAAGGTTTACCTTATCCAGAAATTTTATAATGGAGGGCAAAGTAACCCATTAAAGTGAGGTTTTTTTGTTTGTTTTTCTTTTAAGTTTCAGTTCTTGTGGCTCATACATTCATGTTTCCTCGAAGAGTATTATTCAGGCAACATATATTGACCTTTTTAAATTTAACTTTACTGTATATGTTGTAGGGATGTGAATGAGCAAAAAATTTGTTCGGAAATTCGGGTAAGTAAAAAATTTTGTCTGCGTCAACAATTCGGACCAATGGCATTTGGTTCGGCACTTCGGAACTGCCGAATGGCAATTGGCATTGCGGCACGCAGCATTCAGGCATTCATTTCGGGAATTCAGCAATTCGGCATGTCATTCTTTTCAGGCATTCGGCAGTTCGGAATGTTGTTCATTTTGAAAAATAAACAGTTGTGTGTTTTTTTCTTAAACAGCAATGTTTTACATTGCATAGTGGAAAACAGCAGCACCCAGACCACTTAATTTTAGAGAGACACCCTGGCAATCAGTCTACCTGGCAACAGCTAAAAAACACAAAATTAATCACTGCAGCAAAGTCACAGTGCAGCAGAGAGACACCCTGGCAATCAGACTACCTGGCTTGCACATCCACACATTCTCTCACCACCCCCTGCGCTTAAAAAAGGGCAAAACTCTCTCTCTCTCTCCCTGGAACACACACTTAAAAGCAATGTGGCTCCCCAAGTTTGCAACAAGTAAAGTTCAATAAAGGTAATGTAATTTATCTCTCTCAGTCTCTTGTGCTATCACAACTAGTCTGGTCACATGAATGCAAGCCCTGACAGCCTAATTTATATACTACTCCACCTCAATGACTCTGTGTGCCTTCATTGGCCAAGTGTCAGTGACAAAATCAACATTAATTGGCTGTCCTAACATCAATCACAAAAATTTGCTAATTTCATTGGACATCGGAGCTTCAGCACTTCCGAACTACCGAACTTCGTAACTTCAGAACCGCGGCACTTTGCCCATTTGTAAGCATTCGAATGTCCAAATGGCATGAAATTGGAAAGCTGTGTATGATACAAATTGATTTCAGTTAAAATGTTTCCTTGATTCCTCTAAGTTATTCAGTGTCAGGATTACTAATTGATCCAGCACGCAGAATTGTGTCACACGTAGGACTAAGGATAATGTGTAACCGGAACTTAGAATGGCCAGAACTAACGTATCCAAGAATAGTCAGACTACTAGGCGAGGTCAGGGATACAGAAACAGACACAATGACGAGAAAAAGCCAAAAGTCAAGGATGCCAGAAATCAAGGAAGTCAGAACAAAGCCAAAGTTAAATACCAAAATATCAAGTTCAGGAACGCACTCTCGGATTACCATCAGGCAGAAACCACGACAGGGCAATGAGAGAATGTTAAAATAAGTTTAAATAACCCTTCTGTTATTCCGATTGGCAGTAATCGGCCTTTGGCCCTAAAATGTGCGTGCGGCCATAGGTGGTCATGAGGCTACAAAGTGGCATAGATCCGCAGCGGCCGGCGTCCTTAGACATGCTAGTTTTATCAGGTATCCGGGTGCACGGCTGTAGATGGGCACAACTATTCCTCTTAGGACGGTAAATACCATCAAACACATTACTACAAGTGGATGAATTTATTATATACAGTGAGTGAAAAAAAGTATTTGATCCCCTGCTGATTTTGAACATTTGTCCACTGACAAAGAAATTATCAGTCTATAATTTTAATGGTAGGTGTATTTTAACAGTGAGAGAATAACAAAACAAAAAAAGAGAAAAAAATGTCAAAAAGTTATACATTTGTCCCACTTCTCTTTGCAGATCCTCTCCAAGTCATTAAGGTTTCGAGGCTGACATTTGGCAACTTGAACCTTCAGCTCCCTCCACAGATTTTCTATGGAATTAAGGTCTGGAGACTGGCTAGGCCACTCCAGGAACTTAACGTGCTTCTTCTTGAGCCACTCCTTTGTTGGCTTGCCTTTGTGTTTTGGGTCATTGTCATGGTGGAATACCCATCCACAACCCATTATCAATGCCCTGGCTGAGGGAAGGAGGTTCTCAAGATTTGACGGTACATGGCCCTGTTCATCGTCCCTTTGATGCGGTGCACTTGTCCTGTCCCCTTAGCAGAAAAACACAGACAAAGCATAATGTTTCCACCTCCATGTTTGATGGTGGGGATGGTGTTCTTGGGGTCACAAGCAGCATTCCTCCTCCTCCAAACCTGACCACAACACTTTCACCCAGTTCTCCTCTGAATCATTAAGATGTTCATTGGCAAACTTCAGACAGGCCTGTACATGTGCTTTCTTGAGGAGGGGGACCTTGCGGGTGCTGCAGGATTTCAGTCCTTCACGGCATAGTGTGTTACCAATTGTGTTACCAGTTGTTTTCTTGGTGACTATGGTCCCAGCTGCCTTGAGATCATTACCAAGATCCTTCTTGGGCTGATTCCTCACCATTCTCATGATCACTGGATCTTGCATTGAGCAGCAGACTGAGGGAGACTGACAGTTATTTTGTGTTTCTTCCATTTGCAAATAATCGCACCAACTGTTGTCACCTTCTCACCAAGCTGCTTGGCGATGGTCTTGTAGCCCATTCCAGTCTTATGTAGGTCTACAATCTTGCCCCTGACATCCTTGGACAGCTCTTTGGTCTTGGCCATGGTGGAGAGTTTGGAATCTGATTGATTGATTTTTTTCTGTGGACAGGTGTCTTTTATACAGGTAGTGAGCTGAGATTAGGAGCACTCCCTTCAAGAGAGTCCTCCTAATCTCTGCTAGTTACCTGTATAAAAGACACCTGGGAGACAGAATTCTGGATTTTTTTTTCTTATTCTGTCTCTCACTGTTAAAATACATCTACCATTAAAATTATAGACTGATAATTTCTTTGTCAGTGGGAAAATGTTTCAAATCAGCAGGGGATCAAATACTTTTCCCCTCACTGTATATGTAAATGTAAACTGCGTATGTGGAAGTACTGAAGGGTTAACTAGCTATCCTATTGAACTTTCAGAGGCCAATGTTTACATTTGCTTTTCCCTATCAGTTGACTTTTATTTATTTTTGTTTTATTTGGTGAAAAAAACACACCACTAAGGGAATAGAAAACTTTGCCCTTTGGATTGTGTGTGTGTGTGGTTTTTTTTTTAAACCACTTTCAAGTAAGGGTAATTAGAACCAGTGAGACCCATGTAAGCAGCCAGAAGCTCTAACTCCCCAGTAAAAACTAGGTATTATCTACATCACTGCAGGCTTGCTAGAGCTGGTTCCTATTTTTCAATGTTACGTCAATAGAACCTGCTCTTGAAGTTGGAAATTATATAGATAGATTTTTTTTTTTTTGATGGCCAGTGATATATATTAGAAATATGAAAACTATTTTTAGACTCTATGTGAAATAAATTAATCTCTCAACTTCACCTTTTTTTATCATTTAAGAGGAAAGTAATTAGGTAAGTTGCTTCCATGTTCACCTCTGGCATATAGAAAAAGTTATCTTCGCTGGTAGAATTATTTGGAAGCTACTGAATGCGTTTTCCATCTTTTTTTCCTGCAGTTTACGCCATGACAATCCAGCTATTTCTTGCTCTGCTGCTGGTTACCATGCAGGCACTCCTGACAGAGTCGTTCTGTTCGGCCTGCAGCATGTCCAGCCAGCCATTGGATGGGCTAACTACCAAAGATATCCTCATAGAAGTGGCCAAACAGAACATTCTGAACAAGCTTCACCTGAGGCAACGGCCAAACATCTCATACACAGTCTCCAGGCAGACTTTGGAAGAAGCATTGCAGAGGCTGAACTTGAGACCTGATTCTGGAGCAGAGTTTTCAAAAGACAATGAAGAAGATAGTGATGACTTGGACACTAATCAAGATTATGAAATTATCAGTTTTGCTGACATAGGTATGTGATTGCTATATATAAAACACTAAAGTGAGATTTCAAAGTGAATTCTTAGTGAATATCAAATTTAAAAGGTTAAAATAGCCATGCTGGAAAAAAATTATATATCACAGCTATGCTTCAAGTTCGCTACTTGGGTCTTAAATTTGAAATTCACTTTAAATTCTCACTTTAGTGAATAACCCTGTAAGTTTGCAAACACGTGCACTGCCACTTCATTGCTGTCCCTTATTATAATGATGACAGTTTTTATGTTGTAATTTAGCAGTGTAGTAGTAGAACAGCAGGAGTCAGACTAAGGCACACATATAAAGCAAAGCAATTAAGTATCATTAGTCAGGTGTTTCCTTAACCCCTTAAGGACCAAACTTCTGGAATAAAAGGGAATCATGACATGTCACACATGTCATGTGTCCTTGGGTTAAACAGGAACAGACTGATTTAATAAAACAAGAAAAAAACAACTTTGTAACATCTGAAAGTCAAAATGGTTGCATAGCGAGAGAAAGAGTAAGTGAAGAAAGACAATGAGATAACATACTTCCTCTTCAGCACCATAGAGACTATAGAGAATTGATGATCAAATGTTACCAGCAACAGTAAGTCCTCCAACACAATCAGGTTAGGCACTAGCTATTATTACTAACATTCTATAGCTTAGAATAACAACAGAAGGTTTCATAACCTGTAGATCTGCCTATAAAGCATACTAACTATGAAGTCTATAGAATCTCTTGCTGGAATCTCTATATGTAACATAATTGTCTTAATCTATTTCTCGGATTTTTAGAAAACGCATCAGCACACATGTTACTGTAAATTAAGAATTATTCCAGCAAACATGCCCAAGTATAAGTAAGCTCTACAATGAGAATGCTCTATTATGTACATTAGATGTGGTACTGGTCTCATATTAACTATCTAGTACCATGTCTATGTGTGACCTATACTGTCATATGGTGGAATGCTAGCTAATGGAGGGAATACAGACATCATAGATGTGACATGTCTTGAAATCCCAAGGATTCTGTGATCTCCAGAGCAATTGTAATTCCTAAATTCCAACCTCTAAACTGGGGTGGTGAAAACTATATCCCCAGATGCTGTAGAGCCAAACCTCCCATAATGGTTGACTGCAAAAATGAAAAGTCATTTCAATGTCAATATTTGAAATGACTGCCCATATTTCTCAATCAGTGATTTTAAATGCCTGTATGCAGATTATATGTTGTAGGAGTCGGTTATGTAAGTACTGTTCATTCTTGAACAAGCTGCAGGTATATACTGATAGTAACTGTGCAGATAAGAACCAGTCTGGTGTTTCTGTAATATTAACTATTCTATGATGAATGAGATGGTGAAGCTATGCGACTTATTGAATATATATGGAATGCAAAGTGTAATAACACATTTTAGAGATTTTGAGGGATGCTGTTTGTTACTAATAATAATAATTATTATTTTTATAAACACTATATCAATGCAGTTGAGATAGCTCAGCGGTTAAGGCTCCAGCTGCAGTATGTAAGTTACAGGTTTGATTCCCGACAGTGACAATTAAGAGTTTATTTCCAATGTTATCGCTACTTTTAACTGGTCGCTTAAAAGGACACTCCACGCACCGAAACAACTTCATCTAAATGATGCCCCCGGGGGGAGTGGACGTTGCTGCTGGAGGGAACTTTGGGGATAAACTGTTCAAGAACGGCCTAACCCCAACAGGCTAGAGTTCACTCACCACTAGGATCACCAGGGATGGATGGCAGCCCCAGCAGCAGGATCCCCCCCCTCCCAGGCTAAAGGTAAGCAGGGAGGGGGAAAATAATCACTCAGGGCACAGCAGCCTCACTTACTCACAGATACCCTGCACCCCTAACACTCACAGCACCCTCATTCACAGCACCCTCACACACACACAATGCACCCCTACACACTCACAGCACCCTCACACACACACACTGCACCCCTAACACTCACAGCACCCTCACACACACACACTGCACCCCTGACACTCACAGCACCCTCACACACACACTGCACCCTGACACTCACAGCAGCACACACACTGCACCCCTGACACTCACAGCACCCCACACACACACTGCACCCCTGACACTCACAGCACCCTCACACACACACACTGCACCCCTGACACTCACAGCACACACAAAATGCACCCCTGCAAACACTCACAGCACCCTCACACACACACACTGCACCCCTGACAGTCACAGCACACACACACACTGCAACCCTGACACTCACAGCACCCTCACACACACACTGCACGTCTGACACTCACAGCACACACAAAATGCACCCCTAACACTCACAGCACCCTCACACACACACTGCACCCCTGACACTCACAGCACCCTCACACACACACTGCACCTCTGACACTCACAGCACATACACTGCACCCCTGACACTCACAGCACCCTCACACACACACTGCACCCCTGACACGCACAGCACACACACACACACACTGCACCCCTGACATTCACAGCACCCTCACTCACACACACTGCACCCCTGACACTCACAGCTTCCTCACATGCATACACTGCACCCTCACACACAGCTTCCTCACATGCGCATAGCACCCTCACGCAAACACATCACCCAGTCACACACAGCACACACACTGCACCCATCACACACACAGCACCCTTACCCACATAGCACCCTCACGCAAACACAGCACCCATCACTCACACACACACTGCACCCCTCTCTCACACACACTACACCCCTTACACACGCACACACACAGAGGACCCTCACACACACTGCGCAATGTGCTTTCCATTTTTGTCTCCTGGTATCCCAACTATGGAGACACCAGAGACAAATTTCAAGCAAACACAGTGCAAGCATGTTATTAAATTTGCTTGCGCTGTGCAGAACAAATACAGGGTATTTTTCTCATGCCAGAGCTCTTCAGCAGAGCTCTGCGCATGGACTACCCTGGAAGAGCATTGAACCAACATGCTCACTTTGTGATGGGGCGTGCTTGTCATTGTAGATGACAAAACACACCCTATCTGGCCACGCCCCCTTTTTAGTGGGGCACTGTACTTAAAAAATGCCCGGGCCGAATTTTCTTCCTAGTCCGGCCCTGCTTGAGTGTCCCTTAAGTGCATGTCACTATTGTTGGTGTCAGAGGTCAAGTCTTGGGAAAGAAGTGGGGGAACTCACCCAAGATTTCCACCACGACAAGATGGGTGGAATGCCCTGCGTTTTTTTTGCCCCGTGCAAGGAAATACAGTGATATGCTTGCACTGCATTTTGGTGCCTTGTCTCTGGTGTCTCTATAGGTGGGATACCAAAGAACGTAATAGGACAAGGCTGATGTGTGTAGAAGAGGTTGTTTGAGGTGTATTATGTGTAGTTAGGGGATGTTGTGTGTTGGTTTGCGAGTGTACATGTATTATAGTTATGCTCCACCGACATTAAAGTTCGCTGGGCTGGTGACGGAGATGTCTAATCTCCCCACCGGGCTATTAATGATGAGAGAGCCCTATCTTGGCTGGTGCTGCCCTGTAGAGATCCTTTGATCTCCTCTGTTAGGCCCTTGCAGTCCTGTGGGAACAGTGTTCCTGCTGGGAAAAAGTACAAAAACACCATTCCCACACACTCCTGCAGGACTCGAGCCCTGGTTGGCTGTTTACCATCTGCAAAATTTCCCCAGTAACATCGCCAAGTTACTCCCTGCCAGGAATTACTTAAAGCCAGTTGCTAAGCAGCCGTCAACAGCTCCAGCTATTTTCTATTGGATCCCGTTAATCGCTACTTGGCAATTGTTTTCTGACTGGCTTCCATCTCTGTTGCTGACGACTGCAGCTAATCCTTAAATGCTAACACCTTAGATGTGATCCCCTCTCTCCCGGGTGCATTAAAATGTGAAAAAAGTTATGTTTTACTTACCTTTTTCCAGCACCAAGGTTCAGTGCTGCTCACCTCTTCATCTCCCGCGACTTCACAGAGGAAACATAACCTCCTACAACTATGGCCAATCCAGTGCTCCTCATAGAGGAACATTGGTGACCTAATTCGGATGTGTGGCACATTCAAACGTACCCATAGGAAAACATTAAATAAATGCTCTCCTACAGGTTGTCTTCCGTGCCACTTTTACACAGCCAGTGCTGTGGAAGTACCTTTAGTGGCTTTCATAGTGACATCCACTAGAAGTGGACTTAATCTTGCACTGTAACCATTGTAGGGTTAAAAGGACAGGGACACTGCACCCAGACCACTTCATTGAGTTACTGTCCCTTTAACTATATAGCATTGCATTAAAACCCCAAAAATCATATCTAGCAGCAGGGATGGACTGAGAACCCTCAGGGCCCCTGGTCAAAATAAATCAAGGGCCCCCTTACAGGCCCCACCCATACTCCGCAGCAAGTGCCACCCTTGTCCCGCCTCCATGCACCGCCTCCAGCCACACCCTACACAATCTTTAGACACAAGGAACAAAAGTGCAATAATCCCTTCGAGGCCCCAGTAGAGACTACAATTGAGGGCTAATGGACCATGGAGGGGGGTCTTTTTAGCAGAGGCTATCTCAGTGTCCTTTAGAGAGTGTGTTAGAAAGAATCCCCTCCAGGCCCCATTAGAGACTACAATGGAGTCTAATAGCCTTGGAAGGGGGTCTTTTAACAGAGGCCATCTCAACGTCCATTAGATAGCCCCTGCTGGAAAACAGTCGCCTCCGGGCCCCAGTAGAGACTACAATTGAGGGCTAATGGGCCATGGAGGGGGGGGTCATTCTAGCAGAGGCTATCTCAGTGTCCTTTAGAGAGTGTGTTGGAAAAAATCTGGCGGCCCACATCGCCCTCATAACCAAACCAGGGAAGGACCCGTCGGAATTTGGTAACTACCGATCAATCTCCCTCATAAATATTGATTTATAATTTTAACCAAATTTCTGGGCTTTGGTCCTAACTGGCTGAAGTGGATATTGTACATATACTCTAAACCATTTGCCATATTAGAATCAACGGCCAACTTTCAGACCCTGTACAAATAGCGAATGGCACGAGATAGGGGTGCCCCCCATCTCCACTCCTTTTCATACTAATCCTGGAGTCTTTTCTGCAGGGTATCAGGGACCAGCCAAATATACATGGACTTCAGACAGGTAACCAAAAATATAAAGTCTCTGCATTCGTGGATGACTTACTCATCACAATCTCAGCTCCAAAACAGTCCCTCCCACAATTGAGCAAAGCGCTCTCTCTATACAATTGATTATCCAATTTTAAGGCTAACTTCTCTAAAAGTGAAATACTCCCCTTCAAGAGTTTCCATGACTCTCCCTACCTACAGCTGGGGACTATCCTCAATGACAGTGGAGTCAAACCTCTCTCAGACTTGTTCCTGACTGCACAACCATCTACCATGGTTTAGGTTCAACCAAATCACTCACTTCATATCCTCGAAACCGGACCTAGCACAGGACAATAGACCGTGCATGACATTTAAAAGGACGTGCTCCACACACAACATCAAGAAAAAACACTTATCCATGTTTTATAAGCTCATACAACAGAATCATGGTTCGACCCCTCCACCTTACACAAACAGTGGGAGGAAGAACTAAACCTCTCCATAACTGAGAAGAATTGGAAGCAAATCTCCAATCTCTTCAAATCATCTGTTAGTAATAGCACCCACAAAAGAAACTACAAAAGACTCCCGAGGTGGCATAACACGCCTACGTGACTACGCCGGTTCTTCCACGGAATGTCTGACATATGCTGGAGATGCCTCCACTCTAGAGGCACACCAGGCCATATTTGGTGGCTATGCCCCACAATACACGTGTTCTGGGATAGAATCGTATTACTCATCCACACGATCAGAGGCATACACATCCCAAAAACACCCAGAATCTATACTATTCCTCTTATATACCACTCCCACGACTAGGCCTCAACATATCTTGCTCAATCACCTCCTCACCGCAGCTAATTTACTTATACCATTTTGCTGGAAAAGACTCTCAGCCCCTTCTATCAGGAAATGGACTCAACAAGTAAAATCCATGAGACACATGGAAGAAATTACATATTCCCTATCACATACATATGGTTTTTACACCCTCATCTGGGAACCTTGGTTACGATTCATGCAATCTACAGTCTGAGATGATCCTTGTCACGTGCGTGGGCTATAGGCCCAGCCGAGACAGTGGGGAGAGTGTGGAAGTGACAGGGTTAATGACACCAGACCCCTGGTTACCTGTTGCTAGTCCCAGCAACCACTCAATTAACCCCTGCAATCCCTTCTACACTAACCCCCTTAGTACACAATTTACTGCCACCACCAAGACTTTTAAACCCGGGCGTCTTAGGTTACCCCACACACAGGAGAATTATAGTATCACAGTTCTACTTTTACTGATAAAACATATATAGTTAACCCTTTTTGGTAACGTGTTTACCTGAGCTTTTCTGTGGAGAGTGAAGCTCATAGAGAACAGAGACACAGGCTGATTAAGTAAACATTTAATCTGACAAAAAAGATTCACAGTGCTGAGTACAAAATACAGAAATAAATGACATACAGATAGCAAATTGCAAAACAGTACATAAAATAAAATAGGAGAAAACACAAGAAATTCCTCACATGTAGTTACCCCATATAGAATTCTTGTGGGAGTCTCAGATGGTATAGATCTCCTAGAAGTTGCTGACAAAAGAAAAATGAATAACTGAACTGGATAGTCCGGCACCCTCATTATATATCAAACTTAGTTGTTTCTCAGTGGGCAGACCCCTGGGGGGGGATCAGAGGGGGATGGTCTGGCAGTTTATTGCCCACTCTATGCAATTCCTTGTGTCCAGGTCTGGTGATGGCTATCTAGATGTTTTATGGTCTAAGCCTGGTGCCAGATCAAAGACCACAATAAACGTCATCCCAAGGTTTACAAAAAAACAACTTTCAACATATCTCAACACACATCAAACACCAACTCATGCTTTTGGCATGAAACTCCTATTGCCACCCACACTGCAACACACCTACCCCGGGTTGTTAAATGTTGATACAAGTGTATAAATTGTTTATTCCTGCTCTATTTGTTTCTGTAACATGTTACTGATCAAATGGACTTTTACCATTGGCTTTTTCTGATTATAACAAAAAGATATTACTTCAATAAAATCTTTTTTTTAAAAAGGGAAAATTTTAATTCTGTTACCCAAAGTAAGATTGCTTATCATAGTAATTTAATTACATAATCATTTAATTACTTTCCTCTGACACATATACACTCTTGTTTAGCTTGCATTATTTCTTAAAATTGGTGTTTAATAATGTAATTTGTTCATTATGTTAATAACTTCTTTATATGTAGACAATTCAGAGACTACTAGAGCCACCCTTCATTTCCACCTGTCCACTGAAAAATCGAAACAACGGGAGATCATTCATGCTGATGTATGGCTTTATCTTTACACGGTTCCTGGCAGAAAGGTAACCCTAAGTCTCACAACATCTCTACTCAAGCAGCAGTCATCAGAAGATATGGTTCAAATTGAAGTTGTAAGGAACAGTTGGTACACCGTACCTTTGCCATCTCTCACCAAAAGAGTTCTTAATGATGGAGATGAGAACATATATCTGGAATTGAAGTGTTTAAATTGCTACTATTTGCCACTGATGAAAAATATTACCGATTCCCAGCACCCATTCCTTGTTGTAAAGGCACACAACATAAAGGAGGCATCTCGTAATCGTAGGCATATTACAGACTGCTTAAGTGATATGGATATGTGCTGTCTTAAGAACTTTTATATTGATTTCAAAGAGATTGGATGGAGTGACTGGATTATCAGCCCAGAGGGTTATAACATGAACCTATGTGAAGGTCGATGTCCTATACACTTGTCCAGAGTACCAGGAATTGCTGCATCTAGTCATACTGCTATATTTAGCCTTATCAAGGCTAACAATGTGTATTCTAGCCTTAGCTCCTGTTGTATTCCCACCAAGCGGAGGCCATTGTCAGTGCTTTACTTTGATAAGAATAATGCCATTGTAAAGACAGATATTCCTGATATGATAGTGGAAAGCTGTGGTTGCACATAGTGCACTCTTCCATTTTAACTGATTAATGAAATATCTGACCAAGTGTTGGTTTTATAAATAAAGTGTGAACCTCCTATACAGAGAAGCATACATTCTAGGTGGGACTGTCTGAGCAATGCAAATTCAAATGCAAACTTGCTTAAATAAGAATATATATATATATATATATATCACATCCATCTGATGCAGGCAATGGATAAGATTTGCAATAATAAAGCACTATTGTATATATATATAAATATATATATATATATATATATATATATATATATATATCTGCTTTTAATAAAGCAGACTAGTTTGGTTTGTGTCCAAGGAATTTTGTATTACTTGCTATAATAGTCATTGTCACTCAGATTTATTTTTTCTATTATGAGGATTTAAAGATTTAATTTGAACATAAGATGATGTTTATGTAAGTACATATATAGGTAAGTATGGACACGTGATACTAAATTTTGGAGATTGGATTAGAGGTAGAGGTAGGGTTTTTTTATGGTTACCTCCCTGGCCATATAGAAAGGAGAGACTCTGGCACTCAGAAAGAGGTACTGGCAATACTCTGCTTCTTTAATATGTTTATTCAGGGCCGCCATCAGAAATTTTGGGGCCCCTAACACAGCTCAAGGTCTGGGCCCCCCTTCAAGCCTGCCCACAGGGCCTGCCTCCAAATCCCGCCCACAGGAATACACACACACTAACAGATACAAATACTGAAACAGACATACACACGTGCATAGGGAAATACTGACACACACACACACACACACACATATACATGCAGACATACATACTGACAAACATACATATACATACACATACTGCATACTGATATATACAGGCATGCATACATACACACACACACACACACACACACTGGCATACATACATAGACTGGCATACACACAAATATACACTGGCATGCACACATACACTGGCATACACACATACACTGGCATACATATATACACTGGCATACATACATATTTACAGTCTCCAAAATAACCTACCAGCCAATGCTTTCTCTGAGTGAGGAGTGGAAAGATACCTGAAGGAATATGATCAGCAGGGTTAACTCCAGCAGTTAAACAATGGACATGGCATTTTGGCACTTTGGTATATCAGCTGCTGGGTCCAGGAATACAAATATAACATAATTTAAAAAAATAATGTCCATCAGTTGCAGTCAGATAAATAGCGTTTTGGAAGATTTATAGCCAGCTTTGTTTTGTATCCATCTGTACAAATGGTAATACATTTCTATATAAACACTGGAATACACACATACACTGGAATACACACACTGGCATACACACACTGGCATACATACACTGGCATACATACACTGGCATACACACATTGGCATACATACACACACTGGCATATGTGCACTGGCATACATACACACATACACTGGCATACATACACACACTGGCATACACACATACACTGGCATACAAACACAGATACACTGACATACATACATACACTGGCATACATGCACTGGCATACATACACACATACACTGGCATACACACACTGGAATACATGCACACATACACTGGCATACATACACACACTGGCATACACACATACACTGGCATACACACACTGGCATACATACACAGATACACTGGCATACATACATACACTGGCATACATACACACACTGGCATACATACATGCACTGGCATACACACACTGGCATATATGCACAGATACACTGGCATACATACATACATACACTGGCATACACACATACACTGGCATCCACACACTGGCATACATGCACACATACCCTGGCATACATACACACACTGGCATTCATACACACATACACTGGCATACATACATACACTGGCATACACACACTGGCATACATGCACACATACACTGGCATACATACATACACTAGCATACACACATACATTGGCATACACAGATACACTGGCATACATACACACACTGGCATACATACATGCACTGGCATACATACACACACTGGCATACATACATACACCTAATTTTCAGCCACCCTCCTCTCTTCCTTACCATTTCGTCGCAGGAGGGTGGCAGGGGATGATGTGGCCTTTCTCTCCTCCTGACCGGACTTTTTTTTTAAAGGGGCCCGGTCGCGCTATTACAGCGCTGATTGGGCCCCTGATGATAATAGGGCCCATTGGGTGACCCTAAATGCTTGGGCCACCTGATGGGCACCATCAGCGTGTGGGCCCCAGTGCAGATGAACCAGCGGCAGTCCCACTGATACACGTGTGGCCCGGGCGGCTGGGCCCCCCAGGACCGCCGGGCCCGTGACAATTGTCACGGTTGTCATGCCCTGATGGCGGCCCTGTGTCTATTGTATATTCCTGATATGTATTACCTATCCATCCCATAGAAGACATTGTGAGAAAGTAACTAGCAATTTACTTTCTCCTTACTGAAATATTTACACTTCATACATGAAGGAAATGGAGAATATTTCCCAAAAATCATCTTTTAACTGGGGAGTTCTGAGATGGGGTGCCCCCCTGCTCCATCATTTTCTTTTTTTGAAGGAACTTAACAAGTCAATTTGAATTCCACTTTTTTTTATGCCACTAAATGTTGGACATGTCTGCTAATATGTTGATTCTTTATGACCCACTAAGATGTGTTGCTGCTTGTTCTATTTTATGTGTGTAAGGGCTTTTGATGTCAGTGTCTAAAATAACTATTTTTGCAGCAGCTTTTGTCTAAAAACCTTTTTTTTAATTAAGGAAAACCAAACGGTACAGAGACAGTCATAATAAGAGTATGCATAGGCAGTCGTCCTTTTCCCATATTTTCTTTTTTTCCAATTCTTTATTTTTGTAGTGCAGAAGACAATATACAGGCTTACATAAACATTTCTCTTGAGTATACATAGCTCAACTGAGAAGAGTTAGCGATTTATGAAATGTCTAGGGAATTGCACTTTTTGTAATAAGAGGAAATACAGGAGCATAGTTCTAATAATGATAGCAGAAATATGTTAAAACATGTTATAGAAAACTATAGAACTGCAGATAAGCAAATAAGACAATAACCACTTGATGTTCAGAGTTCCTTGATGTATAGAGGCAAGTAGAGGACTATAATAAAGGAACAAAGCTTAGTCATGAGAAATATTGTGCACTGCGATAGTAACACTAATCGAGTCAAGAAGGAGTTCTCAAGCTGTCATTGACAACCAGTAACCACGTTGAGGCCCTTCTGCTGAGCCACGGACTCCAGATAATCTGAAAGTCTTATTGTTTATTGAGAGTAATCCGGTCAGTGACCAGTGCACGCATCTGCTGGCTCTCGGTCTTGTACCCCCGCTATAGTAAGGAGGAGGCACCTGTGTCAGTCTGGTCACACTGGGGGGCGAAGAGGTGTGCGTCTCTGCTGTCTTGGTGAGTGATGGGTATTGGCATTGGATCGCCAAAATCCAGCTGCTCCTTGCGGCACCTTATTGCGGCGCTGTTAATCTCCCAGTACACGAGGGGAATGTCCATACTTGCGGCTTTGGTCGACCGGACGGCACGCTGTAGTTCGTCCCCCAGAGGCTAAGGTGAGCCCCCTCTCACGGAGATGCACCCAAAAGGCTTCACAAGAAGCGATCAAAAGCCTGGAGCAGTGGTTCCACGTATGTGGAAGTTGGCAGGGAGTTGCTCATTGCGATAAGTGTGGTGGCCCTCTTGATCGCTAGGCCTTGGTTCGCAGGCAGGCTGGAGTACCTGGCTAGGTGACTACTCCAAAACCCCAGTGGAGAACGGGATAACCCCCACCGGTCCAAAGGGGGGGGGAACAGGGCACACGGCTCTAAAGCTCCAATTCAAGGCCGAGGATCGGCCGCCTCCCCGTCCCAGAGTGCAGCTGTAGGCCGTAAGGAAGTACAGCATATGCCGTATTCGTTGGTTGTAGACCAGGGAGTGACAATGTAGTGACAGAGAGCTCCCAGGGGTGCGTGATAAGCTTTTAGCCAAAAAGCAGGGTTTAATGTCCAATTTGAGGCTTAATAACAGGATTTCCCTGAGGAGCACCATGCGACTGTTTCTCTTGGCTGTCAGGCCCCGCAACCCCCCCGCTCCTTTTCCATAATTCAATAAATTGAACTTGTTCTCAAAATCCATGGAAATGTGTAGATAGGAATCTTGAACAGTAAATAAAATAGTGAAGAGAATAAAATGACAAGTAAAAAGAAGGACAGTAAATAGAGTTACGAAAAGTGTGAAAAGAGGCCACAGTGGGGAATCTGAGGAAAAATAGAAAGGCCAAGGGGTAATGAGAAACACAAGAGGGGACACACAGTTTTTGTAGTTAATCAAGGACAAAAGGAAGGCTTGTGCACACCAATCAACAGCTAGTCAAGTCACAAAACAGCAACTGGTTAAACTAATTTAACATACTCTCTTTTCTTTAAATTTTACTTTATTCATGTTTTCTTTATTTTTTACATCCATCTTCATAACTGCATTTTATTATTATAGTCTTAAATTAATAATTTATGCAATAGGTGAGAGGTAAAACCAAGCAGTTAGTTTTGAAACAGTGGACATGTTTTATTTAATAGGGGACTGCCACTTCCCAGGATTTTAAATACTTATCCCTATATTAAAAAACAAACAAGCAAATAAACAAACATGTATTTGTGAGATGTGAAAAATACAATTTAATGTAAAAATCTGCACTTCTTTATCTTGCAAATGGCTGGCTCGATTGTTGCTCCTTGTCAATCATTGTTATAAGTTCTGTACTTTGCATCTAGCAGTCAGCATTGTGAAATGTCATGAACTGACTTATTGCAAGGGTATGGCAAGGTTCTTAACACAGGGAAATATTTAAAGGCCACTCCAGGCCACTAAAGCTTGTTGAGGGTGCTTTACGTGTGAAGACTGTGTCCTCTTTTTTTTAGTTTCACAAAAAGTGCAGATTTATTGAGAAACTGGCACTTTTTTTTTAAATTAACCTTGTTACAGCCCCCCTGGCTGTTAATCAGACCTGTGTCTTCCTGTTTGCTTAGCTCAGTGGAGCTAACTTTAAGAGGCAGCAATTGTTCAAATCACCTGTATTGCAAAAGCTTCTCACTAGGTGTCATTGGGAAGTCTGTGATTTGACGAGGACAGAAACTCTGGGCAGGGTTATAAGGGGAATGCTTGCAAAAACCTGTTTTCAGATATATCCCTATGAAAAAAAGAAAAAATGTAATCCATGCATATTTTCATTGAGGAAATATCTACTAAACAGTATTTTTTTCTGACAGTGGAGTGTCCCTTTAAAGACACTGAATTCTACAGTACTACCCCGATTGTATTGCCAATGTTTGTCTATGGAGATTTAATGTGCTGGATTTTATGCACCTAGTTAGTAGGAGTGTCCAAATACTTTTTTTCACATATGGACACAAAGTTGAAAAAACGTAATAGACTTAAAAAAAAAAAAAAAAATCATGACATAGAAGCAATCTCAATGAGGGCAGACTTTAATCTGTATTTACGAAAGGTATACAAAAATAGAAAAATTCATTACAGAGGAGACACACAAAATGAGAGAAAAATCTCTTAACGGGCACAGGAATACCGAACATCTACAAGTGTATTGTAAACATGAATTTAAAGTTAATAGTAACGTATATACATTTAGAGTCAATGACAAATCTACTCCACAATATATAAATCAAGCAAAAAGAAAAATATACAGTAAATGTTTCCACTTGTCAATACCTCACAAGAATACATTTATTGCACTAAAGCACTAAAAGAAAAATAGTGACATGAAAACAGCACAAAGTGCTACAAAATGTTTATGCAACTAGTAGATTCTTTCACCACACTAATATTGTAACTAAACATTCTACCACGCAGTGTGGGACATGCTCTTGCTCAGTGGCCTTTTTCGTCAGGAAAATGCGCCATGCCACACTGCAAAAATTGTTCAGGAATGTTTAGAGTAACATGGTAAAGAATTCATGGTGTTGCCTCAGCCTCCAAATTCCCCAGACGTCAATATGATTGATCATCTGCGGAATGTGGTGGAACAAGAAATCCAAACCATGAAGGCCACACCTTGCAGGACTGGTGGCAGTGGCCTTTTTCAGCAGGAAAATGCACCCTGCCACAATGCAAAACTAAGGCTGGTTTTAGGAACATGATATAGAGTTCAAGGTGTTGCCTTAGTCTCCGAATTCCCCAGATCTAAATCCAACTGAGCATCTGTAAGATGTGCAACTTGCAGGACTTAAAGGATCAGCTGCTAATGTCTTTGTGCCAGAGACCACAGGACATGTTAAGACATCTTGTGGAGTCCATCAGAGCTTTTTTGGCAGCACAATTGGGAACTACACGATATTAGGTAGATTGTTTTAATGTTGTGGATGATAAGTGTGCATATGCATTATACCGTGAGGGAAAAAAGTATTTGATCCACTGCAGATTTTGAACATTTGCCCACTGACAAAGAAATGATCAGTCTATAATTTTAATGATAGGTGTATTTTAACAGAGAGAGAGACAGAATAACAAAAAAAAAGTCCAGAAAAATGTCAAAAAAGTTATAAATTGATTTGCATGCCAATGAGTGAAATATGTATTTGACCCCTTCAACTTAGTACTTGGTGGAAATCACATAAGTCCGACATTTTTTGTAGTTGGCCACCAGATTTACACACATCCCAGGAGGAATTTGTCCCACTCCTCTTTGCAGATCCTCTCCAAATCATTAAGGTTTTTGAGGCTTTCGAGGCAACTTAAACCTTCAGCTTCCTCCACAGATTTTCTATGGGATTAAGGTCTGGGCCACTCCAGGGGCTTAATGTGTGTCTTCTAAGCCATTCCTTTGTTGCCTTGGCTGTGTGTTTTGGGTCATTGTCATGCTGGAATACCCATCCACAACCCATTATCAATCGCCCAAGATTTGACGGTACATGACACCGTCCCTTTGATGCAGTGCATTAGTCCTGTCCCCTTAGCAGAAAAACACAGGCAAAGCATAATGTTTCCACCTCCATGTTTGACGGTGGGGATGGTGTTCTTGGGTTCATAGGCAGCATTCTGCCTCCTCCAAACACGGTGAGTTGAGTTGATGCCAAAGAGCTCAATTTTGGTCTCATCTGACCACAACACTTTCACCCAGTTCTCCTCTGAATTATTCAGATGTTTATTGGCAATCTTCAGACTGACCTGTAAATGTGCTTTCTTGAACTAGGCGACCTTGTGGGTGCTGCAGGATTTCAGTCCTTCATGGCAATTGTTTTCTTGGTGACTATGGTCCCAGCTGCCTTGTACTCATTAGCAAGATCCTCCCATGTAGTTCTGGGCTGATTCCTCAGCGTTCTCATGATCAATAAAACTCCACAAGATGAAATTTTGCATGGAGCAGCAGACCAAGGGAAATGGACAGTTATTTTTTGTTTCTTCCATTTGCGAATAATCGCACCAACTGTTGTCACCTTCTCATCATGCTGCTGGCGATGGTCTTGTAGCCCATTCCAGCCTTGTTTAGGTCTACAATCTTAACCCTACCATCCATGGACAGCTCTTTGGTCTTGGCCATGGTGGAGAGTTTGGAATCTAATTGATTGCTTCTGTGGACAGGTGTCTTTTATACAGGTAACAAGCTGAGATTAGGAGCACTCCCTTCAAGAGAGTCCTCCTAATCTCTGCTAGTTACCTGTATAAAAGACACCTGGGAGACAGAATTCTGGATTTTTTTTTCTTATTCTGTCTCTCACTGTTAAAATACATCTACCATTAAAATTATAGACTAAAAGATAATTTCTTTGTCAGTGGGAAAATGTTTCAAATCAGAGGGTATTAAAAAATATGTAAATTTATTAGCAATAATAAAGTAAAATAAATCTGATCAAATGATCAATATACTTAAAAACAAGTGTTTATTCAGTCAAAACATGTTTTGCCTTCAGCAGGCTTCCTCACTTGGTAAATAGTATATGGCTGGTACTTCCATCTTTTATATCATCTTAATTGTAAAATCGCAGGCTTCTGTGTTCCCGGAAGCTTGTTCTGTGGAACGCACGTTCCGTCTATTGGAACGCACATTTAGTCCATCCTCTGATGGTAAAGTCCGGTGGAACGCAAACTGCGTTTCAATAGGTGATGTCACTTCCTCTTTTTTTATGGAACGTACGTCTGTGTTCCACTGACGTCCTTTTGAAAGGAAGTGTCCCTTGGAAGATTTTTATATTGTTTGTGGAACACATATGCGTTCCATTTAGTCCAAAGCATGAAATACAGTGTGCATATTCATGAATAAAATGTGGGAAGAGAAAAAGATATATAATTATTTTTATTACAAGTAAATGAGAAACCTAATTTAAAAAATTAGCATTGAGTACACAGACAAATATAAAGCATGTATTAACACTTAGAAAGAATGAAGACTTAATTTGTCATATGAAGTGAAATAATAAATTGGAAATATAAGGAAATGCCTAACTAATATATAAAACTGTATAACACACAATAGAAACTGGAGGGGGATATGATTTATAATCTGGTAAAATATGTAATAAAAAAAATATATATATATGTATATCTAAAAAATCCATTAAAAAAAAATCCATAAAATAATATATTTGAAAAAATATATATAGAAAATATTTAAAACAGGAGGGAAAAAATAAGTAATACAAACTCCACTGTTATTAAATAATTAAGTTTAAAAATGGCATAATTCAAAATCTGCATTCAAGCCTTGGGGGGTTAACGTATTAAAATTAGAGATGAATTAACTTGCTTTTCTAAAAGTATTATTTATATGTTAAAATGCCCCTGTGACATGCTTTATATTGGGAGAACCATTAGATGTTTGCACATTAGAGTATCGGAATATGTTAGGAACATCAAAAAAAGTGTTGAAACACATTTCAAAACACACCATCAAAAAAATCTACAAGATCTCACCTTTTGTGCACTAAAGTTGGTAAAAAAAGAATTTGGAGGGAGGAGATTTTAACAAGAAAATTGGCCCTGAAGAAATGAAATTCATCTTTAATTTTAATACGTTAGCCCCCCCGCAGCTTGAATGCAGATTTTGAATTATGAAATTTTTTTACATTATATATAACGCATTCCAGCAAGCTAAAGTATTTTAGGTGTCTGGATGTATTCCTTTTAAGTGTAACTAATCTACTTCTTTCCACCAACTATATATTGCTACTGGTTAAACACTTCCTTATAAAAGACAAGAAATAAAAAAGAAACTATATGAAGATAAAAATGAAACAAACTGTACAATGCGACATACCTCCTTACCTGGCCATGTGGATTATACTTTAGGGTTAGAACAGGGCCCCTATGTACACAAATTAAAAACACACAGATGGTTTATTCTTTTCAAACAATTAGATGGTTTATACTTGATCACTATTTGAAACATAATAAAAACAATAAACTACTCAAATACGAAAACAACTTAAATATTTTTCCCTCGGTACATTGTGCAGCTCAGGCAGACCCCTCCCTCACCAGGAAGAAACTCTTATCCTGTAAACTTTATTGGATACATTTATGGTATAAGTCTATAGACTGTAAGCTCGTTCGAGCAGGGTCCTCTTCAACCTATCGTTCCTATAAGTTTTCTTGTAATTCGCCTATTTATAGTTACATCCCCCCTCTCATAATGTTGTAAAGCGCTACGGAATCTGTTGGCGCTATATAAATGGCGATAATAATAATAAGTAGTTTATCCTCAAAAGCAGTTCCATTCATCCCGTGAGATTACTGAAACTGTTAGCCAAACTTCACCTGTTATCAGTTTACCTATAGCCCAATTTACTGTTTAATGATGTGTCAAGCTCATGGCAGAGATGTGGTCTATTCGTGTGTGATGTGTGTCTTGATTTTTGTTTCCTGGAGGAGAGCGCTCAGCCCAATTTGTGCACCAAAATTAGCGCAGGCATCCCAGAACACTAATTATAGGACACCTGATTGACAACTCTGAGGTTAAGGCTTAAAACTGGACTGATTTCAACAAAGTTGAGCGCTACTGTGGAGTGCTCTGTGTACCATTATGTCTGCAATAATTTAAGTTGTGATGGTGCTTAGAGTGACCCTTTAATTATCCAAACATTTGAGCATTTTTAGACATTAAAAAGAACAGAACTGTATTCACAAATGTTGCAACACAGAGATGAAGCGGATTTTCAAACATCCAGAATTGTACATAAATATGGTATGATTAATGATGATTTGTGCTTTGCAATATTATACTACATAGTATAACAAATTATATATTTCTTTCATGTAATCTTTTCTTTCTCGGATGTTTTGCCACTGATAACTCACTCTCGGTTTTAGATTATTAATTGCATAGGATAAAATGGAGTTCTTTCTTTTTTTTAAATAAAAATATACTTTTACATCTGCTTTTTTGTCTCTATTGATAGATATCATTTTCACTTTTTAACTAACATAAATGCCATTCATGGGTATCAAGTGATAAGATGCATTTAATAAAACACTTGCTTTGATTATATCATATAATTAGTTTTTCTCATTTGCAATCTCACATTGAAGTGACAAATTGGGACATGAACAAGCTTGCATTATAACAATAAATCATACATTTATCAGAGTCCGGTGTGCATATTTACTGCTTAACTGTATTAGGATATACACCTCTATGACAGGAACCGATCAAAATAGGAGGGGGGAACAAAACTTCACATATAGGGTTACTCACTAAAGTGAATTTAAAAGTTCAAAGTAAATTTCAAATATATTCTGAGAAGTATTTCAGTTCAACTATATTGACCCTAAATGTGAAATTCACATTTGAATTCTCATTTTAGTGAATACCAGTGTAAATTGATGAATAAATGAAAAGAGTTGAAATAATTGAAATATGAGAATCGAATCAGTAGTATGGGGCACTCCAAAGTAAATCTCAGTTTTGGTGTTGGTGCTGTAGGCAAAGTTCCTGTTCAACCAAACCTCTTCAGTCATTTGGAAAAAATAGAATTCTCAGCACACAGAAATAAGGTGAAAGAGACTAGACAATGTTTGGTTTTGCACATGTGTATTCACCTATAGATGATGTTGTATCATGTGTTTATGGCTTGACAAAACACCTTGGATGTTGAAACATTTCCAAGCTTCTCTGTGTGATGGCTGATTAAACCATAATTTCACCTCATTTATGTGTGCTGAGGATTCTATTTTTCTACATGACTTATACGTATATGTCTGTTAGAACATACTCCTGTCCTTTGGGATCACCAGGATTACCTGCCATGCCCTTATAGTTTTATCCATACAGAGCCTACACAAGTACTCGTGGAACACTCAATGATTAGACCATACAACGGAGTCAATGCAAATTTTTTTCAATATTTATTGGACAGTACAAAGGTTTTAAGGAGTTACCAATCAAATAGTGACAATTGTTATCAAATGATTGATATGAAACAAATCTGGAGGTCATTATTAGGCAGGATCTAGAATAGGAGGGTATAGTGGTAGGGTTTCTTAGAATAAGAGAGAACAATGGTGGTTGTGCACCTAGACTATGTATGTGATGTTGTAGCAAACTACACATATAATGTCCTTGCAATGTACATTAAACAATAACAAGAAATGGCACTAGGGCAAATTTGTACATTAATCCTTTCAGTGCTGGAATGTTAAACAGTTTCACAATAACTCTTTCAGTGATGGAATGCTAGTCTCATATTAAACCTTGCAATGCCCATCAGGGACAGTCCAACATTTGTTTCAACAATAGCTTTACTAATTTATATAGGACCAGTGCCTCAAAAAAAGTATTCACTTGTGTAGGCTTCTGTGTCTCTTAACCCCCCCTTTTGCCCCTGATATGTCTATTACCGATTGTTGTGTCTCTTATCCCACTCTTGTATTTCTTATCTCCCTTTTGTGAGTCTTACCCCCTTAGTGTAGATTGGCCCTCTTGTGTCCTTTACTACACTTTTTGTGTCTCTTACATCCCCTTGTCATTTACCTCTTGTTGTGTCTTTTGGTCCCCCTTGTGCTTTTTACTCTTCTGCTTGTATCGTATCTCTCCCTTGTGTGTTGCTTTCTCCCTCCTTTAGGTCTTATTTATTTTAAAGAATGTAAGATTATCTAATTCTCCCTCTCTCTTCACCCAATGTGCATGTTGATGATAGAATCAAATGCTGGGTAGGGACCTGGTGAATACCCCCTACCAAATATCCTACCCTGTGTGGTGGGTTCTGGATAAAAATAGGTATGCGCATGGCAAATTCCCCAAATCACTTCAAGTTGTGAGTGATATGACAGACCCTAATGAGTTGAGCAAGGCCTAGACAGAACAGGGACATGTGAGAGTGAGGGGAGTGTATAGATGGAAATAGTAAGGTGTCTTAAGAATGGTGGGTGGAAGTTTAGGGGCAGAAGTGTGTGACAGTATAAATAGGAAGGCATTTTGCAGGCCAAGCAGCCATCTTAATTATCAGATGGTAACAGCTTCCCGCCCTACCTCCCCTTGTGGTGTTTGTTGGTTGTTTCTTGTGTGTTTTGTCACAGCGTGGTGGTAAATGGACTTTTCCAACCGGTGGTTGGACCAGTGGTCCGTGGCAAGGTGTATGGCCGGGGCTGTTCCCTTCCCTAATTTCAGGTACAGATATAGATAACAGAGGTGTCCACTGAGCCAATGATTGGCTAGTGGTCAGCATTACGATAATGGAAGGCCCAAGAAAGGCCTTCATGCTTGTTGAGATGAAAGGAGAGGGCAGTTGCCCAAGTGATTGTGCTTGGTTGGCAAGGTGGTACTCAGTGACATTTACTTATTTACTGAGTAAGTTATATATTATGTTAATATGTTATAAAGTTGATGTTGAAGATACAGTTGCAAGAAAAAGTATGTGAACCCTTTGGAATATGGATTTCTGCACAAATTGGTCATAAAATGTGATCTGATCATAATCTAAGTCACAACAATAGACAATCACAGTCTGCTTAAACTAATAACACACAAAGAATGAAATGTTGCCATGTTTTTATTGAACACACCATGTAAACATTCACAGTGCAGGTGGAAAAAGTATGTGAACCCTTGGATTTAATAACTGGTTGAACCTCCTTTGGCAGCAATAACTTCAACCAAACATTTCCTGTAGTTGCAGATCAGATGTGCACAACGGTCAGGAGTAATTCTTGATCATTCCTCTTTACAGAACTGTTTCAGTTCAGCAATATTCTTGGGATGTCTGGTGTGAATTGCTTTCTTGAGGTCATGCCACAGCATCTCAATCGATCTGAGGTCAGGACTCCGACTGGGCCACTTCAGAAGGTGTATTTTCTTCTGTTTAAGCCATTCTGTTGTTAATTTACTTCCTTGCTTTGGGTCATTGTCCTGTTGCAACACCCATCTTCTGTTGAGCTTCAGCTGGTAGACAGATGGCCTTAAGTTCTCCTGCAAAAATTGTAATGACTTCCATGCTTGGCCCCTTTTTGACAGTGTCATGAAAGGGAAGGAGCATAATCATTTTCACATAAAGCCAGGGTGAATAGCTTTTTTACAACTATGGTGTCAGGAATATATGTTTGTATTAGTGACACTATAGTGTTCCTTTAATCAAATTAAAGGAACATTCTGGTCACCATAACAAGTTCAACTAAATGAAAATGCTATGATGCAAGGAGGCCCCTCTCTTTCCTTTAAGGGGTGAAACCACTCTCAAATGGTTTACCCCCAAACGCTTCCTCCAGCTCCAGATCGCTCAGTGGTATTCAGCTTCTTAAACGGAGTGTCAGGAAGTGCAGATTGACGTCAGGTATGGGTGTCGCTGATTGGCTAGAGTGGTCAGCTGACACTCTAAGCCAATCGCTAGTTCCCGATTCATAAAAATGTTTTACGTTTTCATGAATGGGGAGCTACTGATTGGCTTAGAGTGCCAGCTGACCCTCTAGCCAATCAGCGGCACCCCTACCCAGTGGCCCTCTGTGTTTACTGAGACTCAGTAAATTAAAGTGAATACATTAACACTGATATTTTTTTCTACCTGGGGAGATGAGAAGGTCCAAAGTTTCCCTGCCAGGCCCAGGTACCAAAGCCTTATGATGTGGTGTCCAGAATAAAGTGCTCCAATCTCATTTTCTTCTCCTTCATTTGACACAGTCTTCTTTTTCTTCGGAGGCTCCTTCTGCAGAGGTGGCTCTAGACTTTATGAGGCCTTAGGCGAAACTCAAACATGAGGCCCCACAAACAAAAAGTGAAAAAAATAGAGCTGCAATACATGCACACTGTCACATATACACATTGATGCACAGTTTACCTGTGTATGTGCCTGAGAGTGTGTCTGACAGAGAGTATCCTTGTGTGTGTGTGTGCGTGAATGTATGTCTCTGTGAGCATGTTTGCATTTTTGTCTGGTACCCTATGTGTATGGGGTAGCTGCTTGAAGTGTGTTGTGTGTATGGGGGGGGTGATTATGAGAGGAAGAGGCGGGTGATGGTGAGTGGGGAGTGATGCTGAGGGAGGGGGTGATGGTTAGTGGGGGTGATGAGGGAGGGGTGATGCTGAGGGTGGTGGGGGTGATGCTGAGGGGTGGTGGTGGGATGCTGAGGAAGGGGGTGATAGTGAGGGGGTGATGCTGAGAAAGTGGGTTGATAGTGAGGGGTGATGCTGAGGGTGGTGAGGGGGGGTGATGGAGGGTGGTGGAGGGGTGATGCTGAGGGTGGTGGGGGTGTTAGTGAGGGAGTGATGCTGAGGGAGGGTAGTAATGCTGAGGGTGTGAGAGGGGGTGATAGTGAGGGGGTGATGGTGAGGGTGGTGATAGTGAGGGGGGTAATGCTGAGGGTGGTGAGGGGAGTAATAGTGCCCCCATCCCTCACTTACCTGATCTGTAGGCTGCCTCTGTGCTGCTCCCCTGCGGTTTCAGTCATGAGCGAGAGGCAGGGATAAGCTGTAGCTTCCTGCCTTTCAACATTCTCAGCGCCACGTACTGGCCGCCGCCGGTATTGCAGTGTATTCTCACACACTGCAAAAATAGCAGCACAAGCTGAAAAATCCAGGGGGCAAGTGCCCCCTCTTGACCCCCCTGCGGACGCCCATGCCTGTGGCCTATTTTCACCAAGTAAGTCTGTGGTTTGTTTATTTCGGGTAAGTAAAGGGGTGGGGATCAGCGGATGGGTTTCATAGTTGTTTGCCCATACACAATACCCTCTATCTATGCACAAGAGCAAGGAGGTATCCAAGTCTCTTGGCTTAAAAGGAACTGGGCAAGGTATACCCATTCTTACAGGATCAAAGGGTGCCCAATTATTCTGGCTCTAATACATAATCCATTCCACTGCTCAACCTCTCTCCCCTCAACCGTCTCCCCCACAAATCAGACAAATGGACACCTTGTCTCCTTGCTTCAAATAGTTTTCTCATTATCA